CTGCGGTACTCGACAACTAAGATAAGTACCTTTTTTCTCCCATTCATTAATTTCTGCTGGCTTGGAGTTGTCCAATGACAGGTCTTGAAGAAGTGGATGCATGATGCATGTGTATATGAAATCCATTAAGAATGACAGACTGTAGACCTGAAAAATATTTAAAATCACAATTAAAGATACATCATGATGATAATGATGATACATGGTGATGATACATGGAGTTGAAGTTGTTGGATAATAATATTAATGATGATGTAATATGATGACGAGGAAGCATGATGATAAGGATGCCTCATGATGACATGCATAAGATGACATAAGATGATGATATTGATGCATAATGATAATGCTGATGATGATGATACATAATGACACGGGGATTGATGAAGTTGATAGTCATGATGATGCATGATATTATTATTATTATTATTATGATATTATGGTTATTATGATTATGATTATTTGATAAAGGCACTTTTAGGGATACAATTTAATAAGAATACTAGTTGTAAAAGACGTTTCGCTGTCATCTAGCATTCTTCGTCAATTATTGGTCTTTATTTAATAAGAAAACTAGTTGTAAAAGACAACGTTTCGCTGTCATCTCGACAACATCATCAGGTCTAATGAAAATTTTACAATAACTTACAAATTTCTCGTGCGCTGATTGGTTATTTTTTATCATCAATATGAGGACAGACAGATAAAGCTGACGTCAACGAGCGCGCGCTCTTTCCGTTGGTTGTTTTGATCGCTAAAAATCAATGGAGCACGGCAGATATAAATTTGTTGATTGGTCTTCCTGTGGTACATAATTTCATTGATTGGTCCTCCTGTGGTATAGACGCGCATGCGGTTACTTAAAAGTCGCACGGGCTCATACGTAATCAATATGGCGGATGATAAATATAAATGACGGCGTCAATATTATATATGCCGCCATCTTTGATATTTACTTGAGCCCACGCTATTTTTCGCGGATAACCGTATTCGTCAGCATACGTCACTACCACAGGAAGACCAATCAACAAATTATATCTGCCGTGCTCCCTTGTAAAAATGAGAAGTTTTTATCGTTTTTGTTATTGTAAAAAACAAATAGACATCAGTTTTTTTATGTGTCTGTCCTCTTATTGACGCTAAATTGCGTCATCACATTGTCAAAGTATTGTGGATTCACGAGGCGTAGCCGTAAACTTTACTATATCTTGATGTAAATATAGCTAAAGGAAGTGTGAAAGTCCAATGAATAACAATGAAATAGATTAATGATTTAAATTAAGCGGGAAAATGACAATAAAAGCGCAAAACAAACAAAAAAATAATAAATGAAAACGTTCGCTCTAACAGATTAATATAATTGGTCTATTATCTTTGAATAAATCACAAATACATCAATTACTAGCATGATTCTTCTGGTTTCTTGAGGTTTTGCCTAGTATAGTCATTTTTTCTGACTTTTATCATGCTTTTATTGGGACGATGAATTCAGCGAGCTGAGCCGCGTCGAGCGTCAAACTCGCTCGGTAAATACCAGCTCAAAAACTATAACCAACTAGACGCCTTTTAGGCGTGAACTCGGGCTACTGTTTGCTACGAGTACGTGCAGAAATAGGCACTTGTTGTAGGGGTTGCACACTTATGTCCGACTGGCGTGTAATTAAAATTGATTGCTTTGAGTTTGGAATCTGTAGTAAATGACAAGTGTCTAAAAAATTGTCTAAGATTATGTTTGTTGATATTTAGTGCACTTGCATGATGTTTTTTTTCTTTTTTTTTTTTTTTTTGTCTAAATTTTCAACGAACTGCACATGAACTGTTACAGTTTTTCTTGTACACTGTTGTGTGAGAATAGATAGTGAACCACAGGTAGCCAAAGGAGTATATATTTGTTATATTCTGGATAACGAACTGTCTGCTGTTGTTTTTGATTTTGTATGCAGTTGTTTAACGAGACCTGCAATCCTCTACTACAAACGACTCTTTATTGTGATGAACAAATACAGATATAGTTGTACAGCTTTTTAAAATACATAACAATCTTTTTCATCACAGGTGAACGAACGCCAGCCATTATCATGAGGCTGTTTGCTGTCATCATCATTAATCTTCTTTTGTTGGATCTCTTTTGTTCATCGGAAGCGGCTTGGTGGAGACGGAGACGGAGACGACGACGGTGCCATGCACCCAGCACATCAACGATCAAGTGGTCGAACACCTGGGACCATGAGTTCACTTTTACATGCCCTCCAGGTATTATACCTTAATAAAACTAACCCTCTGAGTTCTCTCAATCAATGATTCTTGATTAATTTATCATTAATTACATTTGTGTTTTTGGTTTTTGGTTTTCGGTTTTCGGTTTTCAAAGCCGGCACTTCTCGCTACTTGTGGGACTTGTCGGGTTCTTGTCTCGTCCTTTCATTGAAATCGAAATTTTGGAGATTCCCGATTTTTTAGGACAAATCAAGACTATAAAATAGACTTGAAAACTGTTTAAGGTGAGCAAAAAATAAAGCTTACTTACGTCTTTCACATAACGATGTTTGGTTTTCCATAAGAGAAATGTTATTATTATGTTTGTTATTGTTATGTTTTTATATGAAATACATTTTTACCCAACGAAAACGAAAATAATTAGATAAATGCTTTGGTAGCATATCATCAGAGGGGAAATTGCCTAGAGACCATTAACTAACTAAACTTGAGAAACATAGTAAATGGAGCGGCAGTATGGTTAGGAAACCTATTGTTCTATGTTAGTGTTCGTCTTTATCCATTGTTATATGACGTTGACAGTGCACAGTGAAGGAAACGTTTCTCCATTTGTTCACAGTATTTTTCGTTTGCACGTTACGTCATCGCGGCCATGTTGGTACCATTTAACAAAAGATTTTTCATTAGCATCCATTGTTAACGGTACCACAATGGCCGCCATGTTTTTGTCTTTTAACTCTCTTGGGAATGCTTGCAACCCATCAATTAGGGAATATAAAAGTTTTTTACCCTTAAAAATCGTTCTAAAATATGTATTATTTGTTAATTAATCCAATATGATTAATATCAATTGTTTATTGAAAATGAAATTGCCCTTTTTAATGCTTTCTTATTTATCATCTAGTAATTTAACTGTATCTGCGCGGAAATGTTTATTCGCATGGCTTTTTGTTCATGGAATGAAAGTTTTTACTTTCAAAGTGTTCATACATGAAAATAATAAGGAAATGAACATTTTCAGCCATACTTGCTTTGGTTCATTGTGCACCGTCAGTAACACGTGATGGTACGATTCAACATCAAAGGCAAAACAATATAGCTTTGTTCTATGGAGTTTCCAAACCATTCCACTCCATTAACTATGTGAGAAATGAAGGACATGAACGTTAAAACTAAATGTGTCATGCTAAATGCTAAATAAAGGACGAATATTTGTTATAATATGCTCTCCGTGTTAAATTTCATCCAGCATTAAAATAAATTAAGCTTATCAATAGCAATATTAGAAATATTAGAATTGATTTGTCGATTCGTCGAAGAAGAAGAAGCCATGAAAGATCAACTCTATGGTTTACCATTTTTTCTTCAAGTATGGTGCTTTGCGCTGGAGCTCCGCTAATATGAATCCTATAATAGATGACTGCAATTTACTCCATTTTGTTACTTAAAATAGAACAAAATGGCAAAAAAAGAGATTCTAAATGTTTCAAAACATATGGTCATTTTCGTCATAAAAGTAAACTGTGACGTCATTTTCCCGCCAAAAATATAAAAATCGCAAAAAAGTAAAAACACACGATTGCGAAGATCAATGACCTCTGTTTTATGGCCAAGTTTCAAGGACTTAAAATCGGAATGAAATAGTTATGCATTCCGTTCTCCGGACAGCGCTGTGGAACTTGTGTACACTTAGTTCAGCAACCGTCGAGAAATTAGAGTATAATATCTTACATTTCTTGAACGTATTTTCAAGTATGATATTTTATATTCTAATTAGGTCAAGCAATGACTGAATTCCGCTCGATGTACAGCAATTGCCATTGGGATCGTGTGTTCCGATTTAAATGCAAAAAAAACATAGTTGCCAAAGGACGTTGCCACTGGTCTCACTATGTAAACAATTTTGACGACCCGATAGCTTTCAAGTGTCCACTCAGTGGCTTCATTACAGGAATCAGCAGCAAGCATGACAACCATTACGAGGACAGGTAGAGTTATTATCATTATCATCATCATCATCATCATAATTATCATTATCATTATCTTCATCGTTATCATCATCATAATTATCATCATCATCATCATTATCACCATCATCACCCTCATCATCATTATCATCATCATCATCCTCATTATCATTATCATCATCATCATCCTCATCATCATCATAATTATCATCATCATCATTATCATCATCACCATCCTCATCATCATTATCATCATTATCCTCATCATCATTATCATCATCATTATCACCATCATTAACTTATCTTTATTTTTCCTTTGATTTCTTGTTACAATAATACGGGCTTCGCGTTGCCTTTGCTGATTCTCGATTTTTGAATATTGCTTTACTTTAATATCTTTTTAATATTCCTTTATTGTTATTGTTATTATTCTTATTCTTATTTTTATCATCATCATCGTCATTATTATTATTATTTATTACTAAATACATAATAATAATAATAATAATAATGATAATAATAATAATAATAATAATAATAATATTTTATCAAACAATTGCCCCTTTCACAGTTCCCTGCSCCATCTTGAAAGGCAGCCGTTCCTTTGATCTTGCAATGATAGAAACCTTTTTYAAAACCTTGGACCGTAATTATTCACAGGCCTCAATCATTGCAAGCTCACCGTTCGTCTCGCTTCGATGCAAAGGCACGGCTACCTTTCAAGATGGCACAGGGAACTGTGAAGGGGGCAAATTGTTTGCTAGTTAGAAGTGCATTTGATTGACGTCCATTGAGTTCACCTCTAGAGTGACATCGATTTTTTGTCTTTGTTGTTTTTGTTGTTATTTAGAGAATGCCGAGTACTGGTCTATCACTTAGCAATCTTCGTTTTGCTCTATTAAATTCAACGGTTTGCGTTTTTTTCTTATAGGAGGTTCAGGTTCCGCTGTTGTAAAGACCATCGCTACCATCGCCACCACTGCACCTCCAACAGCGATTATGTAAATGACTGGAAGCAACCTTTCAACTTCAAGGCACCCAAGAACCATTTCTTGGTTGGAGCATTCAGTTACCACATCAATAGCCAAGAGTAAGTTATCAATGATTTTTTTTCTGAAAAATAAAGTCTTTAGATCTTCAACAAAGGATGATCACAAAACAAAAACACAATAACCTTTGTATTCAAATTGCCCATTTCACATCACATGACATTTCCCTGAGAATTGTTCCTTTATGACGAACATGTTATTAAAATATTTAAATATGAAAGAATCAACTCCCAAGAGTGGCATTACATGGTCTGAAATATATATATCACTATATTTCCAGAATGGTAGATTGAACAAACTGATTGATTGATTGATTGATAAAATTAGCGGGACATTAGAATTTTTCTTGCGATTGTTCAGTCATCTAGAAATATAATGCAATAAAGTAAATGACGCTCAATGTGTTTCATAATTCGTCGCTGGTTTTGAGATCTTTATCTTGCATTCTGAGCTCGTTCTCATTTTGAGATCGCTCTTCCTTAGAAATGCAAGCACAGTTTGAGGATGTAACGAATGCTCTACTTTTATAAAATATAATTAATGAGGAAAACACAATAGAAATCATTGCCCGTGGAGGAGGTTGTATATCTGATACAAAATCGTCATGATTTGCATAAACTTTAACTTTTTAAATTTTCTTAGCCAAATTCAATTTTATCTTTAAAATTATAGTAGAACATGTATGTATACACCTAGACGTTTCATAAGTAATATTCAATATTCGTGGCCGTGTTGTATCAGATATACAATCACTCGCCTTCGGCTCGTGGTTGTATATCTGACACAACACGGCCACTCATATTGTATGATTACATAAGAGGGGAAGTGCGCTGAGATTGAAAACCGGAAGTATAACCAACGAGCCGGAAATATATGTCAGTCACTTTTATTTAAAAAAACAAAAGGTATTCCAATTGCTCATGAGAGATTGTATACCTAGGCCGACCAAAGCTTCCTCTTTCAACCGGTGGAATAGGTAACGACAAACTAAGACAATTGGATTAAAAATACATAAAAGATAGAGATAACAAATCAATGATAAGATAACGAGGGGAAAATATGTTAACTTCGAGCAATATTTCTATAACTGTAATCATGGTGTTAAACATGAAAAAGATAAAAATAAAGTCACGAGCAAGTAATTGTCGCTTGTAGTTTATTGTAGAGATAATGAATTCAGAAATATATCCATGAGGCGATTGCACGGTGAACAATATGGAGAGCAAAAATGATCATGACCTGGAGGCGAGGGTGGGGGAAAGAAAGAGAGAGAGAAAGAGAGAGATAGAGAAAGGAACGGAAAAGAAAAAGCATGGGAAATTATTTGTATACAGTTTCCAAGTAATACTTATATTTTGTTCTTTCCTTTGGCCATGTTTTGCGTCCGTCGATCTCAAATGCCACATATTTCTAAAAAGATGGCGTCTAATTCGTTCCATAAACCACCCCCACAATGCACTGCGATGCCAACTCGACCCAGTAGTTCCCTCAACCTCGGAATGGCTAATATATGTGCTTACGCATTGACTTCTTAGTCACTCCGCTGACACCGACTGTATATTACCTTATGTTGAGGGCGTAGTCGTTTTATTTTGGTAAATGTAAATGTAAATTTACTGCTTCTTTTCGCTTAGCATGGTAGGACGATGACGGCCAATGGGCCAGTGTTGTATACATTATTGTTTGCATAAACAAATGCTTACTTTATATTTTTGGGAATTATTTGGTCATCAACTGATCACGAAAGAGCACAACTATGTTATTGATAAATGCAGTGCACATTTGCCTAGTAATGAGGTAATATATTTGTATAAATTACAAACAATTGAAATGTGCCAAAATTGAAGAAGTTCTGTTTTAAATGCTGGCTATACATTACGCCTCAGAAATTTATTGACGACTCTTAAGACTCTAGTGTATGCGGGCTTAGCTTCACTTCTGAGGTCGGTAAACAAAAGCCGAAATTAGAATAACAAAACAAGCAGCTTGGATTCCAGGCTAAGCCCGCATACACTGGAGTTATAAGAGTCGTCAATAGTATTTAGACGCGTTCCTTTCCTGTGGCTTTTTTGCATATCAGTCTATGTTATCGCTTAGCCAACGATAAAAACAGCATACAGATTGAATCTAGCCGAGTGTCAGTGGCATAGCAAGAGTACCAAACTTCGAGGAGCGAGCACACACGGCCAAAATTCCCGCCAAATCCACAGGTAGCCCAACAAAATAGGAAAATGTACGATTTTCAGTTCGGGGGCGATCGCCTCCTGCTCAAAGTTGAGAAAAAAAGAAAATAAACAAAATCAGCATAATTACTAAGGTTTATAAGACGGATGATTTATTTCACAGTTTGGAATGATATTAGTAACCCAGTGAAACAAAACAAAATATCTATTGTATAATAAGTGACTAGAGTGAAGTCACCTAACCACCAGTCAAATAGATATTAGACTAATAGTACACAATAGCACACTCTAATTCCAGTCTTATGTGTCTATTTGACTATTACATCATGATTACATGTTGACTAGTGGTTTTCATAAACCCGTTACACACCGTCCTTTTGTTGTCATTTCACTGTTACACACTATCTAATGGTATTTGTTTCACGGGTTTATGAAAATCACTATATCATTCTCGGAGCAAATGTCTTCACTCTAATGATGAAAACAAAATACAAAGGAATAAGTCAAGAGAGCATAAATAAGAGAGCGAAACAATAAACAATAAGAGCGCGCACGTGCAAGTCGATGACGCACGTGAGTAGTTTAAGGCGAAATTTAAACTGCATCCGGTTACTAAAAATAGCCCAACCGGAAATTTGCATAGTGCGCGCGTTATAATTATGCTCTTTTGAATAAGTAGAGTGCAAACAATTAATCCGTGAAACACTAATTACTAAATAGTACAAAATAGTGCTAATTAAACAATAGAAAACAATGGAATTTGCATGAAATTGTGCTATTTAGTATTACTAAAGTTTCACGGTTATATTGTTTGCACTCTATATACTACGTACTATTTAGGTTACCATGTATTAGAGTCAAGGCATTTTAACCCGTGAAATAAACAATGTTAGTCAACGTGTAATAGCCAAACAGACACAAAAGAAAACTATGGATTTAGGGTCTGCTAATGTGAATTAGTCTAATTTCTATTTCACGGGTTTAATGACTTCACTCTTTACTTGCTAGTTTTTCACGGACAAAGTAAGATCAAAAGAATACACGGCTTAAAGTGCACATTACCCCTGATTCATATATCRATATTCCATGCTAAGCTCATCGTCCTAAGGTCTCCTGATCATATACAGTCAATTCAAAAAACGTTGTCGTCGACCGGCTCAAGTCTACGCGACTGGACCGAAAGGAATATGGGTAAAAATCACTGAAGCGGTTTAAATATTCGTTCTGAATAAATTGTTCCCGCTAGTAATAAGATAATAATGGCGAGAAACAATCCATCAAATGCATGTCTTTGGCTTTAAGGAAACAAAAACAAAGTACTTATTATTCAGTTCACAATTTCGAATATATGAAGGCATTTAAAAAACGTCTCCTTCAACACTTCCCGCTCGCCTACGAAGGTTCGTGCTGTAAACCAGGCATAACTAGTCAGATAAAATTATGGAGTCAACTCGGCTTCAATGATTGCTACCCAGAGTTCCTTTCGGTCCAGCCGCGTAGGCTTGAGTTGGTCGACAACATTTTTTGAATTGACTGTAGCACCTAACCTATACACTCCACCTGGCCATAACAATATATAATAGTATCTTACAAAGATGCAACTGAGCTGTATTTTTATTATTAATATTTAGTAATTATTATTGTTACAATTGGAAGAGGAAATAAGGATAGAAGCCGCCAGCAGAGAAGATTCAATATCCTTTAAATACATCTATATAGTTAAAAATGGTGGTTATAGAACCCTTAAACAAATGATTTAATCATCAATGGGGCCATATCGCCATGCAGGTGGTCTAGCCCAATTAAAATTATGGCACATTTTTCTTTTTCATTCTGCTTTCTATTGCATCATTGACTACTAAACAATACAAGTTCTAGATTTCCCAATATGGGCCATTTCCCCTGTGTTGACTATGCATTTGCCCATAATAACCTTCTTACGTCAAGATATACTGGACCATAGCCACCAATGTTTGGTCCTGTATTAACCGAACCCCATTTTAAATCGTGGATACGCGAAGCGTAGAAACGAGTTATTACCATCAGAGCCACCTCCCCCTCCCCTTGCAAATAAAAATAAAACTCAGACCAATCTGTCCAAATGATGGTGGCTATGGCCCTTATGGTATTCTTATTTCAGAACACATTACATTATCTTCAGTATTGTTGCCTTTTATATTTAAGACCACGCATCACCTTACTATGAAATTATGTATTTGAATCTAAAGCTCAATTGTCAAAAAAATAATTTCATTTGGGGGGGGGATGCATGGCCTTAAAATATAAAATATAACTTTTAAAGTAGGGTCAATTAGATATACTTGATTTGTTAGTCTTCGGCACCAGTTTTCTTGGCAAGTATTTTCTGATAATGAGCCAAAACAATGCCAAAAGAAATGATACATCACGAGTATCTATAAATTCCGAATAGTCCCCTTCACAGTTCCCTTCGCCATCCCTTCGCAACGATAGGGACCTGTGAATAATTGTCCAAGGCGTTAAAAAAAGGTCTCTATCATGGCAAGCTCACCGTTCGTCTCGCTTCGATGCAAAGGCTCGGCTACCTTTCAAGATGGCGCAGGGAACTGTGAAGGGGACTATTGTTCGAGAAGATTGTGTGATTTATTGTTTATAATCCATAAAACTACAGAGTACAATTTGGGATTTAATTGTACTCCTCTTGTCCAATCAGAGTAGAGTAAGTGTTTGTACTGCTGGATATAATAATAACCTGATTGGCTTAACTCTGTCTTTTCAATCATAATGGGATAAATACAAGTACAACCGAGTTATCAAAAGCTTAGAGACTTTGATCACCGAGATAGTAAAATACGAAAACATGCAGAAACTACTTCCTAGCTAGCTTCACTCCTCATCACACTTTTATTCTATGATAATACTGAATAAACACAAACAAATTAAAAATAAAATCCGTGGTTTATATCTAAAATCTAAAAATTTAAAAAGAATCCTTTGCGCAAATTGACTACACAATGACTACACAAATAAAAAGTATGCATGTCATAAAATTATAAATTACTTCTCTTATTACTAAAGAAAAGCTTTTTCGATTACTATTATTACTTGTTAAAATAAAGTATGACAACTTGAAGGGGGAAAAAATCTATATAAAAAAAAAAGATAAAATTGATTGGAATGATTGCACTAGTATTATAATAAAACATCTAATTTGCTTAGCCTGACCAATAAAATTCCTTCATCTAGCTGGTTTTTCTTCGTTATATTGAAGCCCTAGAAGCCGACTAAATTATTTCAAGAACAGCAGCGAAAATATACAAGAAAAAAAATTAAAACAGGGCTTAAAATAACAGCCAGTCATCTGGGGAAAAAAGTCAGGCCAGAAATAAAACTTGTCTGGTCAAATATTTGCCTTGACGGTCATTTTGACAATGTGCCAGAAATATGACTGAGCTATGAATAAGTTAGCTAGTCATCATGACCATCGATAGACTGACTATTATTTTAAGCCATGCTAATATTAGAGCATGTTGTGATATACTTCACGCCATAACCACTGGTATCTTGGCCTTCTGTATTCAGTACACTTACCAAGGACTTTGAACTATCGTGATTGATATTCGACTTACTAATTTTCAATTAATGTAAAAATGTGCCTTTTTGAAATTCTAAGGAAGAGAGACAGCCCCTGGTGCATGGAATTAAGAGATTGAATTTGATCATGCAAGACGACAGAGCTAATTTTCACCTCATCTCACAATTTTTTTTGCATGACAAAGTCATTGTAGTCCTCCATTGAAGTTTGAAAAGTCAAATAGACTTCATTGACCATAAAACGAGATTCCAATGTAATCTTGCAATATTAAACACACCTTTCTTTTCTTAGGGACCCTTGCTTTGGGGATATGAGTCTAATAATGAATGCTGTACAGAGTTGATAGAATAAAAATGGTCTTAAATATCAATGATTTCTAATCTTTTATGCCATTGTATCCTGCAAGATGTGATATATCGTCCAAAAATCTTTGACCTGATACTAAGACGATTGTGTGTGTCTACGTCTTAGCCTTCATCTCCCTTTGGGAGTTGGAGGGATTTTTCGTAACGGAGCTGGGAGTAGTGAAAACTGTTTACCAAACAAGGACTTAGACCTTAAAGATAAATGGACAATAAATCACTTGATCTTGTTGTGGGAGATTGGCGCTCTTCATCTTGGGTAATTGCATGGACCGTTCGATAAGACCATTACAATATTATACTGTTTATAAAGGAATCCTATACTATAATTATTAGTATTATTTACTTGGTATTACTGCATTTACACCCAATAAACCTGTGATCCTTGACTGAAGGGATTCGTTGGCGCTGGACTTGACAATGGTGACCCAGTATGCCTAGTCGCTAACGATGCAAACTCATCTTCTTCAGGTACAGTTGGAATACTAGTTTTGCCCCAGACATTCGCATTTGGTTGCTGTGCAGCAGGTAATGATGCATTCATGTCCTGAGTCCATGCACCTGATATTCCATTATTTTGGCTTGGCACCGCAGAAAACGGATTAACGGTCGTCAAAAGACCTTGATTTGAGCCATTAACTTTGTTTATTTTTTCAGCAGATTCTAACCATCGTTCAGCATCAGATGGAGTGCGTTGTAATTGAGATGAAGGTGTCCACGCGCTGCCTTGTTGTCCACCAAATGGCTGGGCTGGACTTGCAACATTCTGGGCTGGTGTACCATAAGAAGTGTTCATTGTTGTGCTGGTTGAGCCAAGCCCATTATAAACTGGGGTATTCTGAGCAAGGCCAGGACTCATATTGGATACCTGTGGTGCAAATCCTCCAGGGTAATTCAAAGGTTGTTGTGGTGTGGTGGTTCCACCAACCAAAGCATCCACTGTTTGAGGTAGTTTCGGAGCTCGTGATTCCTCATGTAGTGCTTCATAACCTTTGACGTTATCTCTCAAGGGTCCAAGAGACATAGGTGTTGACTTATACCTAAGAGACATGTGACGTGTGAATGGTGACGGCGCAAAAGGCTGAGGCCTGGCTCTTGCGACAGGCGGTGGTGGCTTTAATACAGGCTGAACAGGTGATGTTTGCTGTGTGGTAATGACTTGCTGCGGCTGTGGTTGTGCAGAAGCCACAGGAATAGGGCCATTCATTGAAGTGCCTGAACCAGTTATGATAGGAGAAGTAGACGTGGGTTCTGTAGCTGTTGCTGCAAGTTGTTTTAGTGTTGCATGTTGATGTGGAGGTGTAACAGTAGCCCCTGAAGATGAAGTGGGTGTAGTTGTTGTACCTATAGTTGTAGTYGTAGGTGTTGCCGTTGCTGTTGCTGTTGTTGTCTGTCCTTCTGGAACGCCCTAATTTTATGRAAACATTTTTAAAGCTGAGTTATGACCCTTCAGCAAGGTAGAAGCTTATCATTGAGTAATAGATCAAAATGAAACACTTGTAACAAAGAACAATCTTGACAAACACAAGTTAATAATGATGATGATGATGATGATGATGATRATAAAAATAAAAATAATGAATTGGAATGGTAATATGTGCCTCAAAAAATCCATACATTTCTAAAATCAAAGTAGATTAAATACTTTCTACTTCAGGGACCCCAAACCCATACCACTTTTGGCCACTATTCACTACAGTTTCAAGTCTCAGCCCCTTTCTTTAAACAGTGCTCTGCAGCATTGTTCTTGTGTATTTGAAATGTGTGAAAACTTATCTTGCACCACAGCACAATGTAATATTTTGGGTTCTGGCAAGCAAAGATGCTTAACCAGGTTAACCATAAATGGCCTTACAGATGTACATGGATTGGGATGGATTCTTAACCAGGTTAACCATGAATGGCCTTACAGCTGTACATGGATAGGGATGGGTTCTTAACCAGGTTAACCAGAAATGGCCTTACATCTGTACAAGTATTGGGATGGATTCTTAACCAGGTTATCAGACTCACCTCTTTATTCTTTGCTTGTGCTTGTAATGCCTGTGCTTTCTGCTTTCTTTGGAGACATGCTGTAAATGCACATCCAACTGCATGGCTCAGCCGTTCACCCTAAGCACAAATACATTAAGCCAATCTGAATTCAATAACTAATGCAGGTTCCTCTTTTTTATACAGCTGTAGGGTAAGAGTCTAACAGAGTGACGTCTGCAGACTACCTGCACCAGGTTGGATGACAGTGACAATTTTAAATAGTTTACTATCATTATCTTTGAAGTGCAGCCAGCGAAGTTTAATGTCTCATTTGCAGACTAGCATTTCAATGAGAGTCAATCAAGGAATTGCAATAAAAACCCAATAACTTGAGTGAAATTTTGGACTGAAATAAAGATTTTAGAGGATTAAAGGATAAAGATGTATTTAATTTGGTCTAAAATCTACCTAAAGATATTGTTGTTTTCTTTTATTCTGTTCTTTGATTGACAGTCGTTGCAATGCTTACAAATGACAAAAAAAAAATCTCCCAGGAGGAAAATGGTTTTTCCACATACAGTTTACTGAACTTGAGGTATTGCCATCTCTGGTCACTGATTCTATCATCAGAATCAAGCTTATGCATACTAATAAGTACTAATAAGTACTAACTATATAGGAAATTGCACAATCTTGAGTAATTCAGAATTTATAGCTACAAGCAATGTTTTGAAACTTTTCAAAATTCAACGGACAAGTCTTTAGGTGAGTCTAATTTGAGAAATTGTAAAACATCATAATAATCTATAAATTCCAAATTCTAAGAGAAGATTGGGCGATTTTTTTTTTTAAATGCACTCAAAAAAATTGAGCAACTTAATAGGGACTTTACAGAATACAGAACTTGGGATTTAGTTGTATTCCTCTTGTCCAATCAGAATAGAGTAATTTTGTTGAGTGTATTATAATAAGTACTAATGAGTACTGATAAGTACTAATAACCATGTCAACATATTTGCTTAAAAAAGGGGTTAAATACTTACCGTGTCTCTTGTTGCAACAAAACAATGACACATCCATCTGCGTGTAGTCCCATCTCGGCATATGTATGAAAACACCCTGTCATCTGATGGATCAGGAGTACAGAATGATACCTTCTCAATTGTCTGGTCGATAACAAGTGACTGTAAAGAAAATGCACGTGGAACATTAACAACCATCAGCAATATTTACTTCCCTAGGCTATTTACTACTGTTTCATTGCTTATGTGCTGATCGAGACAAGTCTTGTTAAAGCAGGGCCCAGTTTTTGATTATCAATTCATTTGAATATGTTTCATAGAACTACCAGAGAGCAGCTTACACATAATTCCAATAAGTAATAACTATAATTTTTTTCATTTTTTCTTTTGTGATATCATCACAAGTTGCCCCCCCCCCCCNATTATATTTGAGTGCCCCCTCTACCAAGGTTTTACATGTACACTCTAACAAGGTTTTTGATTGGAAGTAGACTAATAACTGTCTTGTCTTACAGTAAGTGTTTTTCTTGATCAGTATATTCAGCATGTAGCAATAAAAACAAGGGTAATTAACTATAGGAGGATGATCGTCAGACCTATAGGGGGCCTTGGCAGAGGAAAAACATTTCTCTTCTGTTTTACTGCACATGCTGTGATCACAGTACTTTTTCATTTCCTGCGAATCCCATGGAAATTAAATAAGCTTCTTTCATCTGCTGTTCTCTCCTTTAATTGTTTCTAGTAGGTTTTTTCTCTAACTTTCCTAGTTTAAATTCTCTCATCAATGAATCACGTGAGTTTTAATAATCGTTGCATATCGGAGGAACCTTGCTAGCATCTAAAGTAAAATATTTCAAAACATATAAAAACTAACAATATCAAAATTGATAAAAAACATTTTAACATAATAATTATATTACTATCAACTAAGTAGAGTAGAATTGGAAAAACATTTATTGATCAGGTTACACAGCCTCCACTATCTTAAAGTATAAGGTAATAATAAACAACATTTTCTTCGACACAAAAATATCTAGTGGTGGATAAAACTTATTAATTTTACTCAGCATCTAAATTGTGAGTAAATGATGTCATTTACTCAACCCTTTTGTTCTTCTTGTTTTAAACCAAAAATGTTCAACTGCAAGTGGCTCCCAGGCTAAAAATATACTAACTGGTTTTCATATCATAATCAAGTCACATTATCCTCAAATACTTCATTTATTTCAACTGAATGGCTTACCGACGTTAAATATAGGTACTTTAATACCTTTTTTATATTTGAACTTTCAAAAATTGGGGCGTTTTCATCCTTAGTGCCCTTTTGAAGATTATGTGGAGGGTAAATTCTGGTTTACAATTTTTGAAATATTTTTTGCAGTTTTAATGGGTTAGCTGTGCCTGTGTTAGAAGAGGCCGGAGGTTGTTACAGAGTTTAATCCGTTGGTTAGCCCTGCACTGACTTAGAAGAGTGAAGAGGTTTCTTCAGGGCATGCATGTTCAAGCATATCATTATTGTATTATATATGAAATATGTACAATATGAATATTAAAGTTATAAAGATATAAGGTTCTATCTGTGAGTTAGCCAAGCACTGACTTCTAAAGACTAGCACAGATGTTTTTTCTGGGGTATTGATAAAATTTGAAGAAAGACAATCAGGTAAAAATCGTAAACAGTCTGATTAACTAGATGAATTATTAAATCATCGATATCTTAAAAGTTGAAAGCTTTACTAAATATAAACAAGTTTGTAAAAGTGGTATGTGTATGTAAACTAATGTACACAACTTTCTAGAAATAAAGTAATTATGCATAAAATACAATAAGTACACATTTAAAAATAAAAAATATATCATGCATAAATTTAATGAATGAAATAAAATATATTAGATTATTAGCCAGAGCATACAGGAACTAGACATTTCTAAAGAAAAAGCAAACTGTTTAGTTTTTGATAAATATTTAATGCTAAATTAGGAATATCTATTTTCAATTTTTGTCCATATTGAATAGATATTCAAATGTATGTTTCTGTGATAATCAAGATTTAGGTGCTAAAAATACAACCAGAGAATCAGATTAACTATATTTTGTACGAAATGTGGGCTTTGTTRTCAGATAACGACCTTCTAAATCAATCTTAGCTAGGATAAAGAACATAATATAAGATGGAATGTATTTACTACCAAGTATTAGGATGCCTTTCATTTCTGTCGAGACCATTTAATTAACATGTACATACATAAGAATGCTTTGACTATGAACTGTGAAAAAGATCAACATGTCATGTATAATTAATGGTTGACCAAATCTCTAAATTGTCAGAGAGAGATTGAATTTTATCAACTCTCTGCTGGATGTAAATGTAATTAAACTTTGATAGAAGGATACTGGTTGATGTATATTGGCAGGTCATGCAGGCAAATGGAGTACTGAAATATGTAGAAGATATTTTTTATTTTTTGGTATTATCTGAATATTTCTGCCTGTTCAACATTAAAGACAACTTAGCACAAACATTAGATCTTAAATCAATTATTTGCAAATCAGTAAAAATGATGAATTCTTGGAAAATGGAAATCATGTGAAAATTTGAACCATGAAAACGCAGCAGGAACAATTAACAAATGTTGTACAGATTGTAAGCCAGTATGGAGGGCTGGTGTAATTCAATAAAGCATATTGTCAGTCATAGACTTGTTTTTAAACAATTTGAAATGAAAAAAAAATTGCAAAACTAAATCACTGTGCCTGAAATACTTTTTGTCTAAATAATGCATGATGATCAACAAAACTATAAAACTATAAAAATAATGAAAACTTTAGTGAGTTTTTTCCCCGAAATACAATCGTAAATCTTGCTACGTATAGGTAATTTACAATTGGCTACTTGAATTGAATAAAAAACRTGACAAATGACAAAAAGAAAAAGAAAAGAAAAATTATATTTGTAACACTATGAAAAAAAAAAGACTATGAATACTGCATTAACTCATTTTTACGAGTAATGTTATTTTGTAGATTTGATTCATAACCTGTTAGCTCAAGAACGTAGAGACACTTATCATTTTTAGTAGATAGTAACAGATCATAATATATATATAATAATAATAATWATTTATTTTTTCAAAAAGTCTAACTAAGTATGCACATCCAGAAGGATTTTAAACTTTTAGACATTTTTTCTTCATCCAACTTAATCAAAATCAAAATATAATTTATTTACTTGGTCCGAAAGTGGCTTCTAAAAAATTCAATAATATGATAATGTCTTATAATGTGGGAAAGAGTACAGGACAAATATGTAGCAGTTGTAATCCTTTTATTAAAAAGCACACAGGAAAATTAGAATTCGAAATTTAAAGATTATGAAATCCGAAATCCAATATGTTGAAGATTTCTAGTAATTATCATGTGCATATAAAGTACAATTCAGAATTCATTATTTCTATTTTTATTCATTAAAAAATCCCCTTGTTTATGGTGCGCATTTACTTAATTTAAAAATCAGTTAGTCTAGTCAAATATTTTTATAGGCATCTGCTGGTAGAACGAGAGAATTCTAGATATATACGTTAATTATTGGGCCAGTTCTTATCTTCTCGATTATTTTTCAGTTGTGCGAAGTCGTAACAGTCGAAATAACTAAGATTGTACGTTAATATATTTTTTGTTCAAAAGTTATTCTGATTGCGATTTTTCGCTTTTCGTTCTCTTCTAATCAAGCAAAGAGTTCGTTTTGGACCAGAATTAAATTTATTCATGTAGTAACTCAAGCGATAAACACAGAAAACGTGTTTGGAGAACAGCTTTACGATATAAAACTTACTTTGGTTTCTTCATCCACGACTCGGATGCAGTCCGAAGTCACCAATAAAGTCATTCGTTTTTTCTTGTGTATTCCAGCCTACACAACAAAGAATATAAAGCTTTTTAGAACATAAATAAAGCTTTAATTCACGAAAAAGGGACGCTCGAAGCAATTCGAACTTTTGAACTTGGAGAAGTTGAAGTCGTTCAACTGCTCGACTCAAAACTCCAGAATATTAAGGGTTTCTATATTTGGCATATCCTGTATCGCTGGATCAACAACATGAACAGAACTAAACCCCAATCACCTTGCTTCAGCAGTATTAACAAAAAGAATTGTGGATAAACAATGAACTTACGTCCTTCATACGGCGAAAAGCTTCTGCACAAACTTGAGTCCCTCGTGACTCGGTAACTTCGATAGAACCGGCATACTGCAACAGAAAACACAAAAAAACACTCCGTTAGTTTTAAAGAACGGAGTTTCTGTGCCTCTGTTATAAATACCAGGACTCTTCTTTACCCTTTTAGATGGCAAATATAAATGAATTACGCAGAAAAGCTGTCAAAAAGGCTATGAATTCACAGACCTTAACGGGGAAGCTAACGCCTCCATTGCGAACTTTATAACTATCGTTCTCCCAAACTTGTGGTCGACTGCTTTCTGGAATATGCCTTCTGGAACTTCTTAAGCTAAGACTACGCTTCAAGCGCTTCATTTCCGAGTTAAAATGTTAAAAAATATCAAGTAAAAAGGTTTAAATGAAGGACGAGAATCCTCTTCTATTCAAGGAATGTGTATTTATCATTAGATATTTGCAATTTCGTGTTTTTGAATTTCCACCACGGCGCTTGCGCAGTTCTAGTTAATTATGCTAATGTATGCAAACAGGGTTTCAGGGCAATTCATCGCTAAATTTATCGATTACTGTATATATATATCCAAAGTTGATTGATTTCCAAGTAAAATGTACTTCTAGAGTTTCAGGCTAATTGTTTAAGTAATTCTTTCAACAGTTTTTCTTACGCTGAAAAACAGGAACACAATGTTCGCCGCATCCTTAATTTATTTTTGATCACTTTCGATAGTTCAAGTTATAGCTTCCATTTGATATTATTTATTGGTTATAATTGTCTTGTTTTACTTTGATTATATTAATCTTCGTTGCCATTGTTAAAGCAAATTGTTTGAGAAAAGTTGAAGTTTTAACTTATTTATTTCAACTTAGTATAAAGTAGCGTCATCATTTCCTCTTTGATATCATTACCATCCGATCATATTATCATCATCATAAACAATAATATCTTTCCTTGCCATTTGTCAATGACATGCAGCAAGTCAGAACAATTTCTGCAAATAAGAAACCACTTGTTGCATGTTTACCGTYCATGGTCTATGCTGAGGGACATACAGCAAGTTAGACGAGTTGCCACACCTGAGTAAGAAAAGAGTTGCTGCATTTTACACTTAGATTTGCTACAAATAAGTGACAAGTTGCTACAAATTGAATACGAAACGAATTGCTGCATTTTTGTGGAGTTGCTGCATTCAAACGGTAAGTTTGCCGATAGAAACTGAGTTCTAGAGAAGCTTGATGTGTTTGTCTTTCGTGGGCTTCGAATTTGAAATACCGTCTACGTAGCACCTTGAAATATATTTTTTTATTATATAATTACCAATGAAATATCTATTTTTCTCCTTTTCGAAAAATTGATATCTTCACACGTGAAAATAACATGTTATTTTCACGTGTGAAAATAACACCATTGCGATGGCTATCCAAAAATACACGGAAAGAATTGCCTGAAAAAGCCAAAACATACTTTCATTGATAATTATATAATAAACAGAATATTACATGGGCGCTTGGAGATACGAAATTTATCTTCTCGTGTTGAAAATCTCTCACTCGTTCGCTGCGCTCACTTGTGAGAGATCTTTTCAACACTCGAAGATAAATTTCGTATCTCCGCGCGCCCATGTAATATCCTCTATATCACGATTATCATGACTGCCGGGCACGGATAAAGTGCCCGCCCTGCAGCAGTTTTTACTGTAATTTTCGACAACTTCTCAACTAAAACGGTTGTAATCCATTTAACGTTACGAGAAAAAAATGCATTTCTTTTTGGTACGCACAAGTTTCAGGTCACCCATCCAGGTATTCAAACCTCTTTCAACCAGACCTTGACTAAGTATTATGATATCATGGCCGGAAGCCCAATCTTTTTCCACTGGACCACGGCTAGTAGAATCAGTATAACAATTGCCGTGAGAACAATGCAACATTAACAAATAGACTAGACTTTTTAACATCAACTTTTCAACCGATTCCGTTCAAGGCAGATCTAGAATGCAAGAAGCTGTAGATATGGCCTGGAGTCGCCTAGTCTCTCCACTGATGCTTCGGCTAGAACATTTTCTCGCGTAATTCGTACACCCAAGGGCGGATGGCCTTGATTGCCGTCAGGTCCAAAGGCTCTCAGCATCATTAAGGCATGGCTCTCAGATGAAAAACTGTTTAGCTATATCATAGCCAGTTTTCTAAGAATCTTCCCCAAACTTGGCAAGTTAATGTCTTTTGTGAAAAGTAGGAACCTTAGAGCCTTGGTTACCATGGAAACTAAGTCACGTGACCACAAGGCCGCCATCTTGGATTTTTAAACAAGCCGTTTGAAAACGTACCTAAACATCTTTAAAAGTCATGAAAATGCAGATTACTATTCATATTTACAATGCCTATATGGATCTAATTGGATATCTTGGAAATTATTTTAAGTTTAGTTTTTAGAATATTTTCTATTTTTTCCAAAAAATTAAAAATATTCTAAAAATTTAGCTTAATATAATTTGCAAGATATCCAATTAGATCCATATAGGTATTGCAAATATAAAAAGGAATATGGATTTTCAGGTCTTTTGAAGTAGTTTCAATACGATTACAAACGATTTGTTTAAAAAATCCAAGATGGCGGCCTTGTGGTCACGTGACCTGGTTTCCATGGTAACAGATATGCGGTAATTGCTTGCCTTGAAGAATTACTACTACGAGCCAAATTTGGGAAAGATTCATAGTAAACTGTCAAAGATATGAATAAATAACTGCCTTTCCATCACTTCCTCAAAAGAGCCATGCCTTAATGGTGCTGAGCTATTCGATATTTTGGGGGTATGGAACATTGGGATCGATTATTAGTTTATTTCATATTTGACGGTGGGTTCGAACACCTTGTATCCAGATGAGATTATTTTCATTTTTTAATGCATATTTTAATCAAGTTTGCAATATTTTTCAAGAAAGAGTAGTGCACGAGACTAACAAATTCTTTTTTGCTCATGATTAGTGAGAACTAATTGGTTTAGTACTAAGCAATCTCGATCGGAAAAATTGAGTGTATTCATGAAATGCCTCCTGGGACTATAGTACTTGTTTCTTTATCAACAAGAGCTAGCTTTTACTAGCTCCACTTGTTTTCCATTCTCGATATTTTTTTCTCTATATATTGCTACAGTTTTCAGGCCGTTTATATAGATAAATACCAAAACCCCACTCGTTTTTGTTCAGAGCTACCATTACTATTCACCATTTTCCATACATTGGTTCACTGGTCAAACACAAAGCGCTCAAGCGAGGCGCAAGGTACTTTCTAAGGATTATTCAAATTTGAACCTTGCAACCTCGACTGAATGCTTTGTGTTTGATCAGTGAACCGATGTATAGAAAATGGTGAATCATGCCTCTCCGAGAAAAAGAGGCACTGTCAGTTGTATTTCAAGGTAAAAACTTTTTAAAAACTGAGGGGCATTTATTCAGTCTGGCCCGCCAGTCTGATAATGAGCAATTATCCTACAGTACCATTATAGATAGAGTCGTTCGCATCTTCGCATTTTGTGCCGAGGAAATGAAGACAAACTCGTCAAAAATTGAAATCTATTAAAATATTTCTAAATATCGTTCAAACTCCACTCACGCTTAACACACCGCGGCACACACGAACATTTTAACCAACTCTCTTTCGCAACAATAACAATAAGAGTAATTAGTAATTCTAGGCTATAGTTATTTTCGATAGGATTAACCATTTTGGCTACTTTCGCACTACAATGCGAATAAATTGTCTTTTGTTTTGTTGTTGTTCTAGTTGTTTTTTTTTCAAATTTCAGTGTCTGCGTTTCTTCGGTTATAGCAAATTCTGCGCATGCGTTCCTACATGAACATATCCGCGTTATAAATATATTATTATTATTATTATTATTACATCATCTCAATTAAACGCATCTTGATTGGTAGACGAGTGTGCTCTCTTAAAGAACACATCATTAGAAATAATCTGTTATTTTGCGCAATTGCGACCACTCTTCGAAAGTGAAAGCGGAAATCTTTTAACTTTCATATTCGGCAGACAATTAAGTGTTCTATTTAGTTATAAAGGAAGGAACTAACGAAAATTGAAACACTTGTTAACTGAGGGGACACACTTGAGAATGACTCCAGTTTCTCCGGCTCATTTGACTCATTCGCTTCGATAAAAGTGAAAAACATCTCGATTAAACGTTCAAAATGTTGAGAGCCTCGAGAGGAATCATTTAGACTCGTACCCAGTCGCTTCTCTTACTCGCGCTGTGGTGGATGGGAAGGATTCATATTCTTCCCCTTCCTGTGTTCCATTGCGAGTACAAGGAATAAAGAAATTAAACTAGGCGAGGTCAAAGGCGGATCCAGGGGGGGTGGGGGGCAAAGGGGGGCTGAAGCCCCCCCTTCAGCAGAAAAAAACGATGCTTTTTTATATTGTTTTTCGTTGTGTTGACGGAAGAAACTCAATTAGCCCCCCCCCCCCCCCCTAGAATTTTGGCTGGATCCGCCCTTGGAGGTACGATTGGGTAAGAGTCTGAGGTAATTCTGATTCACGAGAAATTCGCACAATCAACACCCCACCCACCCCTCCTCCCCCATCATAATGTTGCCCCAGGTTTTATTTGGTATCGTTTGAGGAAGTGTAGAAATGAGTTATTCAAGTTAATGGGAAGCCATTTCAATCGTTACAGCATGTCTCACTTCATTAAGTCAGTAGCGCGAGTTACTTATATATTTCCACACCTGAGAACAATTCCTTTCTTTTCTTCTTTCCATTTTATTAAAAACTTAATTAATGAGAATGGAATTCTTTAAACATCAATTAACAGCGTTTCCTAGTTTTATCTTGTGTTCACGACAGTTTGCCTCGGTGAGGTCGACGTTTAGGGCCTCTAACGATGTTCTTAAGGTGGGAAAGGTTTCTTGTACAGATGGATAGGATGAGATTGGTTTGGATGGCCTGTGACAGAATGTAAGAAGAAAACGATGAAAATTATGACTTATTCAGTTGGTTATTACATACTTATATGTTACTTTATAAAGTTGTTTGTAATAGTTTAAAGATTATAATGTACACCACTAAACCACACTAAATACCTATATAGTTATATTTTTATATGTTTTATCAGATCTTTTTGTAAAGCGCCGTTGAACCATGGGGATATTTGCGCTATATGAATCATAATTTTTTATTATTATTATTATTATTATTATTATTATTATTATTATCATTATTATTATATTACTAGGTGGCTACTAGATTGCTTCGAATATCATTCAGTATTTTGTTTAAAACTTTTAAAAAATGAAGACTGCTATTGAGCAATACAATACAACGTATCCAAACCACGAAAGAAAACTACAGAAAATTACATTATATGTACACCGTAGCCCAGCTATGCTACGCCACACCTTACTATGTAACACAACACAACATCATAACATACCATCCCACCAAGGCAAATCATATCATCAGCATTTAACACAACACAATCACAACATACCATCACGTCCTTCGCAACAGCCCACGTCACATCACACAGTACCATACACCATGTAATACAACACAATACAAGATAACACAATACAAGATAACACAACACTATCAACAAGGCTAGACCCAGACCGCACAACACATACCACACCGCGCAACACCCCTCCAGACCTCACGGCACCAAATTAAAAAACTACAAACATATCCTCTTACTTCTTTACTAAGGCTAGACCAGACAAGACAAGATCACACAATACATACCACATCGCGTAAAACCATACCACACCACACACCACACACCACGCACCACACACCACACACCACACACCACACACCACACACCACGCCACATCACATCACACCACTTCACACAAACATAAAAATAAGGATATTTCCTTGTAAGACTTACTTCTTCAAGGCTAGCCATCCTCTGACTTGTTTTGTAAACACTTCAGCGGTCCCTCCTATTATCGCTTCAAGATCCACTTCCTAGCAAACGAGGAAGAAAATGCTGTTATGATTCTGACAATCCGGAAACAAAATATCAGGAAAATGTCAGAATTCAAACAATACAAAAGTGATTGCGGAAACTAAGGATAAGATGGAAAATCCTTGAAGCAACTTTAGAATAACGGGAAATTTTAATTAACAAAGTTATGGAAAATTCATAATTAATTTTTTGAAAATCTTCTTCGTAATAGACCTCTTCGGCTTGGGGTAATGTTTTCCCATTTCAGACCACGTGTCATTCCCTTGAGAATAAGATTCTTTGTTTGAGCTGTATCCTTATTCATGTGTCTTCTCATGTGCAACCGAGCGCAAACCTTAAACAAAGAAATGATACCCTAGGGAATGACATGTGAACTGAAATGGGAAAACATTACGTCAGAGCCAAAGAGGTCTATTACTTGGTGATCCTTGCAAAAAAGGCACATAAAAATTGTCTCTAAATTTAAATTTGTAAACGGCACTAGTCATATACGTGTACTGTAATAAATGCAGCGTGCCGGCGCTAACTTGAATTTAAAACCGACTGAGGAAAACTTAAGAAACAAACAAGCAAATAAATAAATAAACAACAACAAATAAACAAAAGGCCAAGTGTTAGATAACTCTCATGGTTAATTGTGTCCCCCTCCTTAAATAAAGTTTATTGTATTGTATTGTATAAACAGGCAGGACAGACAGACAGACAGACAGACAGACAAAACAGACAGACAGACACAAAGAATATGGATGGTTTCTTGTAAGGTAGACTGTATAAAGCCTGGTTTTTACTAGCGACGGGAGCAGAAGCAGAAGTACAAACGGAAATAAAAGAAAGGCTCGTGTTATGCCAGAATTTCCAATTCTGATTGGCTAATATAAACAACTGGACCATGCTTCTACATGTGGGCGACAGAGGCATAAAAATCGGAGGAACGGAAGCAGAAGCGGAAGCATAAGAAAAGGTAAAACTTTACTTGTTTCTGCTTCTGCTTTCGTTGATTTTAAGCTTCTTCTTTCGTCTTCGTTTTTGATTTTCTAAAGTCAAAACTAATTGGTTTTACCACTTCATGTGGACGGAAAGTCTAACAGGTTTTGCAACCTACTTGAAAAGATTACTGATTTTTGGACAACTTGTCTGATTCATCTCAAGGTTAACACGAGTGGCGGGTTGGGAGATTTGAAGGCATATTTTCCAAGAAGCGAGCATTGCACTAACCTTTCCCTTAGGTATCTTTCCCGTGGCTTCTCTACCTGCGGCTAAAAATAGTCCTAACGCTACTGTATATGCCACCGCACTGAAAGACAAAAACACCAAAATTCAGTAGAGATTAAAACCTCGTGAAAAATAAATCACGTGTAAATAGCTTGAATGGGATACCACAGATAAACAGAAGAAAAAACATGTGGTGTATGATATTTTCTTGGCAGTGCACCAATGACGAGCAGAAAAATCGTTTTACTGCCCGGCTGGACTTTAACAACACGCAAGCTGATCAATAGACCCCTTGCATGTGACGTCTAAGGAGATCAATTGGGAGGACAAAAACAAAAGAATTTCAATCTCCGGAGAATCGGAAACCTATTGTTTTCCTTTCCAAATTGAGCTACATTCTGAAGAAGTGCCGCAAGGGGTCAATGGTACAAGGAAGATCTTCGAGTAGGGATTTAAAACAAAAGTTTTTTCGATTCTTAATCTGCTAACTCCACACCTTCCAAAATATCACAAAACGAAACATGTCTTGGTTTTTTATTTTGAAAATACATTGAACGAATGTGGAAGGAAGCTGTGTGTTCGCTATCGAACTTGTCAACCGACACTGTCTMTTTACAGGGACCAACTTGGAATGATTTACAAGAGAATTTAACAGCAAAAGAAGATGGCGCTACGTTGGTTAATATGATAAAAACTATCTTTTGTTAAATTTTATCAACACAGCAGATATGAACACCAACAATTGTTACCAGACCACGTAGCAAAAATAATCCCCACAGGGGACCCACTAGGGGAGAAGGTAGTCATTGTTGCCCCGAGGGATTCCCGTAGAGAGATTAAACATCAGCATGAATGGCGTGTAAAATAACAAACGAACAAACAAGGTWAATAAAAATTGAAACTGGAACATTGTTTATGTCCAATAGATTTACAGCAACAAGGATATGTGCGGCGTGTATTTAGGTCCCGTCCACACGTATCCAGAAATTTTTGTATCCGCAAATTATTTTTTGCGGATACGAAATTGTTCGCGTCCACACGCAGCGTATTCGAATCGTTTTCACCGTCCACACGTATCCGTTTTCGTAAACTTTGCGGATACGGACACAAAAATTTGCGGACACGTGTGGACGCAACCCGTATCCGCAAAAAAAAATTTGCGGATACAAAAATTTCCGGATACGTGTGGACGGGGCCTTAGAAACAAATTATGAATAATGTATTCACTGAAATCGCAAAATTATGACTATGATTTTATAGAAAGCACTTGATATTAAGTTTTTACATTTTAGACCATTTGTCATTCACTTGACAACAAGTCGTTATCTTCTCATAAGACTTAATAATATGTACATTGGCTTTGATTTCATTTTAACAAAGAAACATATTCCAAAGGGATGTGAAGTTGAAAAGCGCTGTGTCCTAAATAAAATTGTAGAAATTTGGAGGACAAAACAATCAATTTCAAATTTCATGAGAGTAAAGGCGCGGACACCCGGTGCAACATTGCGCGCAACATTGCAGGCAATGTTGCTGAAGTAGGATAGTTTTCTACTTCAGCAGCGTTGCGTGCAACAAATTGCGTCGTGTGTCATGGCTCGCAACATAAATTGCATGCAACATTGCGCGCAATGTTGCACCGTGTGTCCGTAGCTTAAAATTCTGTTGTGTTGTCCTCTACGTTAAACTGAAATTCCCCGAAGTGCGAACTTTTTAGCGGGATTAGCAACAATAATACATGATTTTTTATGAGTTTTTGAAATAGTTTGTTTAAGTTAATATTTTTCAGGGATATCATTGCTGACATGATTGACAAATAAATTAAGACAGGGATTTTTTCGGATTTACCTTGAACCTCTTGACAAAGGCATTAAATTGAAGAAATAGTACGCCAAGGATAAGATATTCTGGCCTAAAGCGTCTAAGTCCTGTGAAAAACAAAACGACAAACATGAAGAATTTTCGATATTTGGCATAGCTTTTTCGATTCCGAAATGCCTTGACTGGAAAAAGAAAGAAATTTCAATGAAAAAAGTTTGAAAGAACTTTAATACAAAGACATTTTTAAATGGAAAAAACTGAAAGTACAAAAACTGAAAAAAATACAAGTATAAAAACATAGAAAAATAAGTATCAAAATATATGGAAAAAAGCAAATTAAAATAAATTAATGATACCACTACAAAAACAGAACATACAAGTACAAACAAACAAAAAAACAAAAACAAAAAAATAAATAGAAATAGAAATAAAAAAACACAAGTACAAAAACTGAAAAAATACAAGTACAAAAACAAAAAATACTAGTACAAAAACAGAAAAACAAATACCGTATTTACTCGTTTAGACGCTGCCCCCGAATAGAAGCCGCCCTCAAATAAACGCCGCACCTGGGACTAAAAATGATAATCGACGTCGCCGAATAGACGCCGCATCTGCGGTGGCGTTAATTTGAGGAAATAATAATTTATGATAAATGATAAACAAAAAGTATATTTCAAGTTTAAACCAGCAACGGAAATTTATTTTCTTTTAGAACAACATTTTAAAGTTCAAAGTGACTGTACTATTTTGCTCTTGCGTTAAGTTCCCTTTCAAATTCTTATTGAATGAAGTAATTTTTGGATTAACGCCGCCCACGAACAAACGCCGCCCCCAAATAAACTTTGCGCATGGACTACGAGACTAAAACGAGTAAATACGGAAAAAGTAAAATTCTACAAAACGTTTTAAAAATTCTTTTAATAATAGATTGATTTTTAATTATAATTTAGCTATTTAGTGTCGTTTTTATAATACTAAGTTTATTTATTTTTATATCATATTTATTAATACTGTATTATGTATTTGTAAATTTGATGTGTATTTCATCAAATGTAATAAAGAC